GGGAGGGCAGGGGTGACAGGGGTGAGCAGGGGTGGGCAGGCGGTGGCAAGGGAGGGCAGGGGGCAGGTGTGGCAGGGGAGGGCAGGGGTGAGCAGGGAGGGCAGGCGGCAGCAGGGGTGGGCAGCCCGTGCGGAGCAGCGGCACTCACACGATGAACTCGGACAGGTTGCACCACTTCCAGACGTCCACCTTGTGCATCATGTCGGCGAAGGCCTTCCCGCAGAGGGGCAGCTTCTCCAGCATGCGAGTCTCGTTGCAGCCACCCACTCGGGGACACCCACCTGGAGAGGGGACAGCCACGGGCATGACACTGCTGGGAATGTGGTTTGCAATGTGACCCTCAAGCCTCCTGCCGACGTCCCCCACGCCCCCGCAGGCAGCTGGGGTCCCTCACGCTGGCCCCCCCACCGTGTGGCCCAGAGAAGTGAAGCCACTGCCAAAAGGGGACCCACATGGGTGGGTGTCACCTAGATGGGACCCAGAGAGCCATGGTCTCCCAACGGGGTGTGGGAGAAAGAAGACGAGGGAGGACGGTGGGCAGGGGATGCGTGTCCTGGGGGCTGGGGAAGCCAAGAACGGGGGGGCTCCTGTGTGCAGTGGGGGTGGGGAGCGGGTCCCCTCCATCAGGGGTGGCAAAGTAACCCCACCGCAGCGCCAGGGTCAAGGGTGCCCAGAGCATGTCCCCAGAAAGATCCTGAGAGTCTGCTGACCTTCTAGGACCACGAGGGCACCAGCAGAGGCCCCCATGGGGGAGAACTCCACCGGCCCTGTCAGAGCTGCCCCTCAATTCCAGGAGGCCTGGGGCTGACGAGACACAGGGACTCATGTTCCAGAAGCGGAGGCCAGGTCACCCCCCAGGTCCAGCAGGGGTCCCCCCCAGGATTCCCGGCACCCCCCTCCCCACTCCACCTCTGCCCCCAGCTCCCCCATCCCTCCACCTCCACCTTCGCCCAGATCATCTCCCCACCGAGGAGCACTCACCTTCAGGACCGGACCACCCTTCCTCCCCAGACACCCCTCAGAAGTTTCCTTCCCATGGCCCCTGCTTTGGCTCCCACCACACAATCAAGAGAAAGCCCTGTGGTGTGTGTCCTGGTATGTGTGTGCATATGTGTGTATGTGTGCATATGTATGTCTATGTGTGTGTGTGCGTGTGTGTGTGTGCATACAGCCCTGCCGTGTGTGTGCGTGCGTGTGTGTATGTCTGTGTGTCTGTGTGTGCATATGTGTGTGTTCGTGTATGTGTGTGCATACAGCCCTGCCGTGTGTGTGTGTCTGTATGTGTGTGCATGCGTGTTTGTGTGTGTATACATCTGTGTGTGTCCTGGCAGAGAGTATTGTGTTGCAGGAGAAATCATAGGGAAGGAAACAGGAGAAAGGCCCACACCCAGAACTGGGCAGACCTGGGCTCACACCCAGCATCACTGGTCACCAGCTGACCTCAGTTTCCCCATCAGTAAACTCAGGGAAACAGGTCTTGGCCTCACAGGGGGCCATATGGACAGGCATTAGCCATGTGCCCAAGGAGGCTCCCCTCTTTACGATGTCAGTTGTTACTGTAGGTATTTGGTAAAACCCTGCTGCTCCCTCACTCCCCTAACCATCAGCACCTCTTTGGTATTCCAAAAAGACTTTTCAAGAGAATGAATGAATGAATGATCAGTTCCTGAGGGCAACAGCACAAATTTCACAGTCTGAGCACAAGCAAGTGCAGAAGAAATGGCCATCAAAAAGAAATAGCAGGTTCTGACCCACTGAGATCCTGCAGTGCAGGCCACGTTGTCCCCAGGGGAGGCCACAGGGTGCCTGGCTCAGGGAAGGGCTTGCGCCACAAAGAAGGTGGCCCCATGACCATAAGGGCACTTCTGGGAACAGAAGGGAGGCGAGAATGAAGAGGGCAAGGCAGTGAGGAGTTTTAAAAAAAAAATTAAGTCCAAAAGAAAACATAAAAAAAGAGAAGAGAAAAAGTACTGTGACACAATGGTATATATAAACCAAACCATGTCAATAGTCAGATTGAGGGTCGCCTGGCCGGCCCAGTCAGTAGAGCGTGTGACTCTTGATCTCAGGGTTGTGAGTTCAAGCCTTGGGGGGTAGAGATTACTCAAAAATAAAATCTTTAAAAAAAAAAATAGACTGAGAGTCAATGGCCTAAACACCCCAATTAGGAAGCAAAGTTGTTAGATGAGATCCAAAAACAAGCCCCAACCATAGGCTGTTCACAAGAATCCTACTTTAAACAAAAAAACTCAAATACATTCAAAGTAAAAGGGTGGAAAAAGACATACCATGCTACTACTAATCCAAAGAAAGGTGGAGTGGCTATATGAATTCTGAACGAAGTATATTTCAGAGCAAAGAATATTATCAGAGATAAGGAGGGTCTTTCACAATGATAAATGGTTCAATTCACCAAGGAGACATAGCAATGCTAAACATGTATGCCCCTAATAACAGAGCATCAAAACACAGGAGGCAAAAATGGATAGAACTGCAAGGAACAAAATGACCAATCCACAGTAACAGCTGAGAATTAAATACTCTTCTCTCACTAATTTACAGACAAATGAATAGTTAAAAAAAAAAAAATCAGTGAGATCACAGAAAACGAACAGTGAGGGAATGCCAGGTACAGACAGGAGGCCATGGAGCCAGACTGCACTTAGCTGGAGGGGGGCACCCACAGTTGTTGGGGGTGAAGGGGTGGCAGTTAGGTTGGAAAGGTGGACCCTGAGCCAGACTGAGGCAGGCCTCCCAGGGCAGTTTTCAACCCCAGCACTCTCCCGCTGAACCCAATCTCTGAACCTTCACTCATAGAGTCCAGGCATGCAGCAGCCAAGACTCAAGCCTATGTCCCTTCAAGAGGAGCCTTGCCGTCTCCTCCACAACGCCTGACCAATGTCCACAGAATGCCCTGTCCTAAGTAAGGTCCCACTCGCAGAGGCACTTAAAAAGACAGGGTCACCACGAAGGGAAGATCATCCACCTGCTCAGTAACACAGTGGGGGGTCAAGCCCAAACCACCTTCCTGCAGAGCTGCCCCCCAGTGGCCTGTCATACTGGCCTGAGCCGACACCCTCATGCCAATCCCATCCGTGGTTTGCCTGAGGAACAGCATCATGTCTCCTGCCCCCCATCCCCCCAGTTTAAATGCCCAGAGGAAAATCGACTTTCCCACAGCCAAACGCAGAGTCAGTGTGAGCCAGGGTGTGCCATGGGCTGGCCTCGATCCACCACCCTGCCCAGATGCACCTGCCCATCTGCTGGCAAGAAGGCAGCCCTGAGTCCAGGGCCACATGGGCATGGTGCTAGTGACTCTGGGGAGTGCAGGCCCTTGGGGGCCCGTGGGGGTGGGGGGGAATGATGATGGAGCCAGCCCACATTCCCTTCTCCCATCACTGCCCTATTCCAAAGGCACCTCTCTCTCCGGCTCCCCAGTGGGCTCCCCATCACAGGTGCTGGAAGTCCATCAGCATTCTCCACACCTAGCCCCTGGACCCATTCCTGGGCCCGGCCTTTCCCTGATGGAGTCATCACAGCAGCCCACCTGAGTCTCCCGAGCTCCACCCGCCTTCCACAGGGGCATAAGCCACACAAGTCCCACACTGTCACCTCCTCCTTGCTGCTGCCTCACCTTCCAGCGAAAATCCATCTTTACCTAGACCGTCTACCTGATCCGACACCTGGGCTGGACCCCGACACGTGGACCTGCACCTCTGGACCCCCTGGCCCCCTGGACTGGCAACCCCTGGACCTGGACCCCCAAGAGCCCCACAGTGTACCCTAACCACCTGCCGTCAACCCACTAAGACCCAGCGCAGCGCTTCCTTCCTCTTGTTCTCCTCCCTCTGCCCTGGGACCCTCTCTCTTCTGGCCCCTCCTCCTCCTTCTTCCTGGACCAGAGTCTCCACCAGCATTGCGGCAGGAACTTGGCCAGCGTTGGCCCTTAAGGACCATGGGGGGTGCTATGAGGATACCAGGACAGTGTCACCGCTGGATCTGCACAAGGCAGGCACCGTGGGACAAACCAGAGGTGTCCTGGGGCCAGGGGCAGGGAGGGCGGGGGGGGGGGGCATTCTAGCACCATCTCTGATGCACACCCTGTTCAAACACTCCCCGCAAAATCCAACACCCCAGCCAGTGTTAGAACAGCAGGTAAAGACGCAGATTCCTGACAACACCAAGAAAGTGGGTGGCTGCCACAAGCTACCAGCTGCATCAGTAAAGGTCTCCGGAATTAAACTGAAATACAAAACTCAGTTGGTTCCATCAGGGAAACAAAAAAACGTAGTACTGGGCTCCTTTTGGCTCAGGAACTTCCAGACTCCAGGAGGTGATAAACGGCCAAACAGATGCATTTCCCAGAAAAAGGCCTTTTACAGCAGGGCATTTGGAAATGAAATACAGGAGCCTCTCACCCAGCTCAGATGGAAATGAGGAGCAACCACACCAGTCACCAGGCTCTGAGTGGCAGGCATGGCCAGGCTGGCCATAGTGTCTGGAAGGTTCTGCCCCTGCCCAAGTCTGGGTAGTGTCCTCCCCACCCTGGACCTCAATTTCTTATCTATAAAACAAGGAGTGGGGTCAGAAGACCATCAAGGCCCCTCTCGGCCAACCACCTCTGTGCAGCCCCTGGGTCACTGGGCCCGATGGAGGGCATGCGAGTCAGGGTGACAGGAGGTGCCTCGGCATCAGGACATCATTACTCACCACTGACAAAAAGAGGACGGTGCCATGCTCGCACACAGCACCAGCGCTGTCGGGGGGTGCTGTCGGCCCCTGGAGCCACCCAAGCTCCATGGAAGGGCGACCGTGGAGCCACGGAGGGAGGACCAGATGGCCCTCCAGACCCGAACCCAGTGTTGTTAGGAAGATGTTTGTGCAGGGTCTGCCTCTGGTCCTTCACAATCCCATGCTGGAGGCAGGTCAGGGGAGCCTCAACCAACCTCGGAATGAAGCTAAGGGCTCCCTTCCCTTGAGGAACCAAAATCTCCATTCCAGGGGCCTCGCATGTGAGGCTTACTGAGATCCCACGTCAGTGTGTTCCCAATGTTTGCAAGCCACCACACACCCTTTCCTTCAACACAAAAATCCGCCTAACCCTAGGCTCTGACCCTGGAAGGTGAGACGAAGCCCCACTTTCCCCACCCAGACATCTCCAGGGGAAAGGCGGCCCAGAGATCAGGAAGCCAAGGGGCCAATCCAGCCCTTTGCCTCCTCCTAACCGGTTCCAAATCAGCAAAGCCGACAACGATTTCAAACAAGGTCAACTCTGCATCTTACAGCCAGGGACGTGGGTGGGCCAGCGAGGGCAAGGCTGGCCTCCCACAGGACCCAGGGGACAGCGGCCCCTCGGAGAGGCCCTGAGCCCCCTGACCCCCAGGCCAGGGCTCCCCACCTCACCTGAGCAGCCAGCTCAGCAAGCCTCTCCCAGAGAAGCCCTCCCCAAACACACACACACACACACACACACACCCTCTTACTTGATCTTGGATCCTCTCTTTAGTAAAATTTTTCAAAACAAGCTTTTCATTCGATCCGTTCCCAAATCGCAATGTATCCTCCCCGGAGCCCCCTTTTCCTTGCTAGAGGAGGGATCTGGGAGCGAAGCCTCAGGGAGCTGCCCCCTTCCCGGTCCTGCGGGCCCCGCGCACACGCGCACACACACCGAAGGGCTGTCCTCCGAGGACAAGTACAAGTGGAAAGGACCAGCCCTGCGGGGTCTGGATTCCTCTCACCCAAGCCCTGGGCGTGGGGTGCACGCAAGAGCTCCAGGACGGGGAGCTCACTACCTACCAGCGAAGTGGGAGCCGGACCTGCGCGGCCTCAGCTCGCTCGGGGTGTCGCCCTGGCAGGCCATCCCCAGCCCGCCGGCAGCGAGACCGGCGACATCTCGGCAGCGAGGAGCAGGCGCGGCCCCAGCCCGCTGGCCGGGCAGATCCTGCTCGAGACCCCGCGCCTCCCCTCCCAGCCCCCGGCCGTCGCCTCCGGCTCCTCCGGGGACCGTGGGCAGGACCCTCCCGCGGCGGCTGGGGACGACGCCGGGGCTCAGGGCTCGCCGTTCCGGAGCCGGGCGCGCCGGGCAGGCCGGGATCCGTGCCGGGCGGGAGGCGCGGCCGGGTGCGGGCGCGGGAGGTGGGAGCCCGCGCGGGTCCCCGCGGCCCCGGAGGAGGTCGGGGAGCCCTGGCGCGGGACCCCGCGGCCCCCCTTACCGCAGAGCAGCAACATCAGCAGCAGCCGAGCCTGCCGGCGCCGCCGCTCTCGCGTCTCCATGGCGCGCGGTCGGCTCGGTCCCGGCTGGGTGCGCGGGGGGCGCCGGGGGGCGGGGGGACGCGGTCGAGGGTGGGGCCGAGGAGAGCCCGCCCCTAGACTGCGCCCTTCCCCTCGGGGACGCGCCCACCCACAGGGGACACTCCTGCTTCCAGAGCGCGCGCTTGTCCGGGACGCGCCCTCCCGGGACGCGCCCCACCTCCCCGCCCCCCCCAGGACTCGCCCCCTAGCCGGAGCGCACACCCTCAAGACACGCCCCCCACCCCCGGTGCGAGCCCCGGCCCTCCGGTTCCAGGGTGCTGCCGGCGACGAGCGCGCGGTTGGCAGGACGGGGGCGGGCTGGGGGGGAGGGGCGGCCTAGGGAGCGGGAAGGAGTGGGTGCGCGTCCGGGGGTGCGCCGGGAGGCGGGGAGCGGGAGGCCGAGGGCCGGGAAGGTGCCTGGGGCAGGAGGCTGCACGATCCAAGCCCAAGAGAGACTGGAGGGGAGGGTGTGCGGGGGTGGCACCAGCCGGAGGAGAGGTGGGGCCGCGGAGGAGTGCCCTGTGTGCTGGAGCAGGGAGGGGCCACCAGATTGAAGCGGCTGATCCCCGAGTCCTTATTGGCCCCAAGCCCCCCAGGATACTTTTCTGGGGGCTTCCCTGTTCCTCTGCATCCCTCTGCACCGGAAAGGGATGGGGGCCTGGGCAGGTACAGCACCCTGGTGCGCGCGCGCGCGTACACACACACCACTACCCGTAGCTGGAAGCTCCAGTCCTCAGGCCCTGCCCTGTGACCTCTGGGAAACCTCAAAGGACAAAATCAGGGCCAGGAGAGTGACTGGTAACCGGGAAGACCTGACGGCCAGGAGTGTCGCGGGCCTGGAGTGGGGGAGGGAGAGACTCGGCTAGATCACTTATGCGGTGGGGGTTGGTCACCTCTGTCACCTTTCAGCTCCTAGCACGGATCCTGGTCCCAGCGGACACCTAGTCACATTGTCACTCCTGAGCCCCTTGGCGGGAGGGACCCCTGTGCCCTCGGTGCCCACAGTCCAACCCTGGGAGCGCATACTGGTCTGAGGGCTCACAGAGCAGAGCCAGGAGCGCGGGGATCCCTCGGGGATCCCTCGGGGGATTGCTCTCTGCCTGCGCCCAGCAAGTGGGCTCCCCACCTGGACTAGCCTCCGCCTCTCTGAGTGGCAGAGGTAGGGGGCAATAACAGCTCCTGGGGTCACCCCGAAATCCAGGTGCTGGTGGCAGTCACACACCACTGTGGGCTGCCTGAGCCCATATGACCCTTCCCGCATTAGTGAAGGGATCGAAGCTTTCTGCGCCTTCTCTGGCAGAAGCCAGGATTATTTCATCGGAGACTTAAAGCTAATTAAAATTGATCAGCCTTCCTGCCTGCCTTCCACCGGAGGTGGTGGGAAGGGCAGGCACAGGAGCAACCCAAGCCTTGGGCTCACGCAGAGGGGCCGCGGGCTCAGCTTGGCTCCGGGCCAGCCACCCCCTTTCAAATGCCCTGCGCCAACCCAGACAACGCAAGAACACAGTGCGGGCGCCCACCAGCGTCCCAGGAGCCTGAGGACTCACCAGGGCCCACGGCACTCCACGGGAGAGGCTCGGACAGACCGCCAAGCCCTCCACCCCCCATGCTTCCGCACAACTGGCAGGCTGCAACAGCCAGGTGGGTGATCAGAAGAGGGACAGGCCAGACAGCAGCCAGAAGCCTGTGCTACCCTGGGGGCTGTGGCTCTGTGGGACTAGGCCTCGGGAATGAATCGCGGGGCCAGGCAGGGCTGCAGCGATGACAGCATGAAAGCCCGAGGGCCTTGCACGCTGACCTTGGACCTGGCTGAAGCTGCTTCCCCATCAGGGATGCCCTCCCCTGCCCGCTTCTGAGGTCCCGTCCACCCCGCAGGCTCAGGAGTTCCTCGGTGCTTCGCAGACCGCGCTTTGTCCCCGCTAGAGGGCATCCCTGTGCACTCCTCCTGTGCTCCGTGCTGGCGGGGGGCGGGGGGGGGGGGGGGGGCGGCCGCGGAGGAAGGGGTTGTTGGGGCAGGGGATTCACAGAGCTGGCGAGGTTAGGAGAGGCTCTGCCCTTCCCCCTCATCCTGACTCCTTCCTGTCCTGGCACCGCTGGGCACATGGACACACACACACCGCGCCCCGTGCACCTCCCCTGCCGCAAGTTCGCTGCTCCTCTCCTCTCCAGAGAGGCAGGGCAACAGTCTTTGGAGATGGCCAGCACCCTGCCCAGACCTAGGCTGGCATTAGCATTTGCGGTGACCCCTGGGTCATGGCAGAAGGGAAGTTCAGGGAACTCCAAGGCTGGGACAGAAGAGATCGGCCCCCCTCTCGCTCCACACTGTGCAGAGCGGCTTCATCCTAGACAAAGAGCAGCCCTGTGGGCAGCCCTGGGATGAGCACCCACCACATTCCAGCCACTCGAACATCCGGGCTGGGTCGGTACCTGGGCAATCTCAACCCGCCCTGAGCAGGACAGCCTCCCGGTGGAGCCAGTCACCCAGGCTAGTGAGAACTGATGCATGTTTGCTGAGTTAGGTGTGGGTGCACAGGTGTGGCGTGCCCGGGGCAGACAGAAGGGGCTGTCCTGGTGGAGGGATGAGCTCAAGAGGGGAAGGGGAAGGGAGGGTACACCCTGGACAGGCGGGTTAGAGTCAGTGCTCATGACAGGGCTGCTGGCTGACTCGGGGGCTGCCTGAGGATGACGCATGGTGAATCCACAGGCCATCAGAGACCGTAGCCTGGATCCTTCCCTCCAGCGGCAGAAACCCCCAACTCCTCGAGCCAAGCTGATGTGGGACCCCAGGGAGGCCTGGGAGGCCAGCTGCAGCCTTCGGGCCTCAGGGCAGAGAGGACAGATCAGGTCCAAGGCAGGGGCTGCCCTGATGTCTGGTTCCTTCCCTGAGCTCACAAGCTGCCACCCCAGAAGAGCCGACCACTCTTCCCCAGGGCTGTCTGCTCCCCTTGGAGAGGACCCACACCTGCCTGTGGGCCAGCTAGTGCCCCAGGCCTCCTCCTCCGCCTGGCTCTCCGCTTCTCTCCTCCTGCCCCTTCACAGAGGCACACAGAGTTGCTTCTGCTGAGCTGCCAGATACTTTTGCGTCCCCTCCGGCCCGCTTGCCCCCGTGGATCATCCTGTAGCCTCTCCTCTCCTCTCCTGTACCTCGAGCCGGCACCCTGGCCCCATCCAGTACAGGGCTCAGCCCAGGCAGTCAGTGGGCATTTGAGGGGGGGCTTTGCTCTAGCTCTTGGCTGTCTCGGCTCCAGAACATGGTGTCCCTGCCCCCAGTCAGCCCTCCCCGGTCCCCTAGTACTGCTGCCCCGCCCAGGAGTCCAACCCTGGCATGCAGCCCAGCCCCCAAGGAGGAGAATGTCATGGTCAGTTGAGTTTCTCACCTCCGCAACTGCCCTCAGCCCAACCCAGACACCCTTGAGAACAGGTCCAATCAGCTTTTATAGGAATCTACCCCAGGCTTCCAAAACTTCCTCTGGAAATGACATGCTCACCCCTCCTTCCAGAGGCTCAAGCAGATCTCACCCACGTCCTGGTGTCTGCTTCTCCATTAGACTCTCCCAGGCCTGGCCGCCTCCCCACGTGGCATGGCTCAGGTCGTGATCTCAGGGTGCTGGGATAGAGCCCCAAGTCAGGCTCCCTGCTCAGTGGGGACTCTGCTTCTCCCTCTCCCTCTGTTCCTCCCCCTGCTCAGGCTCACTTGCTCTCACTCTCTCTCTCTGACAAATAAATAAATAAAATCTTGCAGCTGGAGAAAGTCGCTGCCCTGCCTCATTCCCAGATTAGGAGTGGGCACCAAGGCCAAGGGGGCCACTCCATGCTGAGATACATGGGCCCAGGAGAGGGAAGTGGGGGCGGAGGGGGGGACCAGGACAGCGGGGGCCAAGAGAAGTCGTCCTTCCTGGCAGCCCCCCGTGTGTCTCGCCCTGCAGCCCTGTGGCCCTAAGCTGGTGGCCTCTACATCAGGAAAGAGAGGCCATCAGGTCCCACCTTCTCCAGCAGGCCTGCACACAGGTCCCTGAGAGTCCCGTCCCTATGCCCTTACTCTTCCCAGATGGAAGACTGAGCATGTCTTCTCATTGAGGAGGGGTCTCTCCAGGCTCCTGGACCCCGTGGCAGGTCCTCTGGGGAAGGGGACAGGCACAGGTGAGTATGAGTCCCCTGGGTAAGACAGGCGCCTCCCCCAAGTCTCCCGGTGGGCACAGGCCCTGTGGAGTCAGCCAGGCCTTCAAGGGTAACCCCGAATGGTCTTGCTCCCCTGTGAGTAGACTGGCAGCCCAATCAGAGAACCGTCCCACTGTGTGTGCCTCAGCATGGGAGGGTCTGAGGTCGGGCAGGCCTGCTAGTTCTGGAAGGTTCCCCCCGCAAACCTGCGGCCTGAGAGGCCACCGCAGCGGGCAGGTGCCTGAACGCTTGGCTCCCCCTGCCGACAGACCCCGAGCCACTGCATCTTCATCCTCAGTGCCGTGTGGGACGATGCAAGGGGGCCAGGGGGAGGTCCCCCAGGCTGGGGGTTGGAGAAGGGGACTCGCAGCCACTTCCCGGCTGCCCCAGGACCCTGGACTCAACTCTCCATGTCTTATCATTATTATTATCATTATTGTTACTATTATAAAGTGCACACGGCATAGCACTCCCGTCCTCGTGAAGTGAAGTGCACACTTCAGTGGCATTGAGCACACCCACTTTGGGGGCGGCCACCACCACAGGCCGTCCCTAGCACTTTCTCCTCTGCACTGAAGCTCTGTCCCCGTGAGACACTAGCCCCCATCCCCCACCCCCACCCTGGTGTCCACCATCTCCTCTCCGTCCCTGTGGATTGGACGCCTCTCAGCACCTCCCAGAATGGGAACCCTACACTGTGTCCTGTGTGTGTGGCTCATTCCACTCAGCATCGCGTCCTCCAGGTTCCATCCACACTGGAGTAGGTGTCAGAGTGTCCTTCCTCTTCCGGGCTGAGGATGGATCACGGTGCTGATGGGCCACATTCTGTCTACTC